CCCCGCCCCCGGGGTGGGGCTTAGTGGGTTCCACCGCCCTGTAGGAGCGCTTGTGGGAGGGGCGGAGTTCCAAGTGCTGGGGTTACCCCGCCCCCGGGGATCGGTGGAGCCGATTGGAGCGAGGCCCCGCCCCCTTTTGTCTGCTCCTCCGGCGCGGAATCCCCTCAGGCCCCGCCCCCCCGAATTCTGGCCCACCCCACCAGCCGCGAGCCCCGGGCGGTGACAGAGGAGGCCGGGCCGCCGGGTCTGGAAACTACTAGGCGGGGAAGAGGACGGGCACACACGGGCACTGATACACGAGGTGCGGAGGCGCTTTCATTACAGCACCTCTCAGAGCCCTAGTGGAAGCACCCTCTGCCTCCCCCCACACACACGTGTAAAAACGCCCTATTGTTTCAGTGAAAACGATGGTCTTCAGTGGGGCGCGGAGCTCTCGACCACCAGATGTGATGCAAGCTGACAGTTTAGCCACACTCAAAAAAGACTGGATACTTTCTTGGAGGAAACGGGCATCCGTCTCCAGAGCCATCCCTTGGGGGGTGGGCAAATCAGGGGCTCCTAAACCTCCCATGCACGCCCATGGCCTTTCCCCTGAGGAATGTGGGCAGAGCGGGGTGGTTCTCTGACATTTTTCTGTGGTGCCTTCAGGCTCCTGCTTCCCTGTAGCAGGGTAAAGGGTGTTTCTGACTACCAGGCACATGAGTGCCTGGGGGGCATGGCTGCACTGGTGGCGGGAGCGCGGTGATGGTAAACTGGGAGCTCTCTCAGATGCCGCCAGCACTGTTGGTGGCAGGGGGAGCACATGGTGAGCGCTGACCAGGGGTTGGCGACCACCCACAGCAGCGGCAGCCAGCTGTGATTGTGGACTGCCCACAGATGCTGTCAGTGCGGTGGTGATCGGTGACCGACCACAGGTGCTGCTGACAGTGTCGGCAGTGCTTTTTTGCAAGGGGTGCACGTGCACCCATGTGCACCCCCTACTCCTCGCCCCTGGCCAGGCATTATTGTTACATGGCAGGGTTGTTCCCAAAGTTTTAAGACGAGATTTGATAAGCCCTTGTCCCATTAGTGCACACATTAGACACTTACACAACAGTGATCTTCCCCTTGAGTCGGGAGCTGGGCTAGATGTGACCTACTGGAGCCCTTCTCCTTTTCTAGGATTCCTGTTCTTAAAAGCCCTTGTCTTTCCTCTCCTTTCTGTCACGCCCCCTTGTCAGGGATAGACTTGCCAAGTTGCCAGGGATCTCAGCCATTTAATCTAGCCCCGCTGCAAATTGCGTTATTCCCAAGCCAGCCACACTAGGTGCCTTTTTCCAAAATCCTCCCATAAAAGAGATGCCATGGCTGCCCCAGACAGTTTATTTAATTGTCTGCCCATTCTCACTGCTAGGAAGTTTTCCCTTAGATTTAATCTAAATCTGCTTTGTTGCAGTTTAAGCCCTTTGCCACGTGGCCTTCCCTCTCTGGCAGGAAAGAGCTATTTGTCTCCCTTTATGGCAGCCTTTCAAATATTTGAAAACTGCTCTCGTTTAATCTCCTTTCTTCAAATTAAACAGACCTAGTTCCTTCAGCCTTGCCTTGTCTTCCCTATGCCTGCCTTGCCATTATATTCTGGCTCACTATTGCCTCCCCCCTGAAACACTATGAGACTAAGTTACAAATCTTTATATTTCCCCCTCAGAAAGGTAGGTTCTTTTATGCGTTCTTCTTCAGCTTTTCTTCACAGCCTGGAGGGCTAGCTGCATGCTATTTTTTTCAAGGCCAGCTGAGATTCTCACATAATCACAAGATTTGAAGAGATGAACATTTAAAAAAACCCCATGATTAAATCTGGAGAACTAGCAACACTGTTTGCTCACTCCTGCTCTCTCATTTTCTCTCTCTCTTCTTCTTTCTCTGGGTCCTCTCAGCCTCCTAAGAGTATCCCTGTCTTGTTTCCCTTTTTTGTCCCTCTTACCCTCTTTGTCTCTCTTCCTTCGTCCATGCAGGGCAAGAGATTGATTTCACCCACTGTGCCAGCTGGGATTGGGAGGTGTTGCTCCAGCTGCTGTGCAGAACAGCCTGTCAGGCAGCCTCCCAGCCCCTCTTCGCTGTCTCTCTTGTGTTTTGAGCACAGAGAAGATGAAGCCCAGAGAAGGACAGGGGCACTGTTCCCATGGCTGCTGTTGGCTGACTGCTCTCATGCTCGTCTGGCTGAAAGCAGCACACAAAGAAGCCTCGGTTGTGCCTTTCCTTAGGATTCTGGCTGCGATCCACTGCTTTTTGGCCTGTGTTTAAATATCTGCGTCTGTCCCAGCCAACCTAGGACCAGTGTGCATGTGAAGAACAAGGTTTCCTAGAACAGCGCCTGGAGAAAGGAGACTCCCTACAGCTATGCCCCATCCCAGCCAGAGTCGCACACATTCATACCCCATACATCTTACTTCTGATTTGGAAGGACGCTCTACTTAGGGGTGAGGGACCGAATGTCCCAGCTGCAGGGCTAGTCTCGAGCTCTAGAATTAATGAGTGGGCTTCCAAACCAATTTCTTGTTTCCTGTTGCCTTGTAGCCATTTCCATCAGGGCAACACTACTAAAGATCTGGAGCAGAATCAATGAGGTTATTCTTTGGGAAACACCCTGAACTCATCTGAGCCATGCTGTGGTGCATTAGTCATCCAGCCCTGACGTGCATGTGTGCAGGACCTCTTCATGTCTCCAACTTCCCATCTGGTCTTGAACTACGCACAGGATGGGGGTGATGGGGGAAGGCCAGCTGCTTGATCCAGGCGATTCTTTGAAATGGGTTTGCACTGCAGTGCTTTGTATTTTGGCTGCCTTCCCAAGGCAGAAGGCTAGGAGCCTACGAAACAAAGGCTGAGATTCTCCTTTGCATTTCAGGCTCCCCAAGTCTGAGCGGCCTGTGTACATTTCAGGACCCCAAAGTCTGGCTCTGACCCCTCTGGGATCCGATGCACAATTAAGGCTGCTATTGCCGGTGAGAATTGGAGTGTCAGTCTTTGGCCTGAAGTTTTAAAAACCTGACTGCAGAGGAGACAGCAGTGTCCTTCCTCCTACAGGAACAACAGGAACCTCCCTCAGCCAACTCCAGAACACACTGGTAACAATGTTCTTTATTTATCTCTCCAAACCATGGCACATAATAACCCGCTGTGGGAAAAGCAGCTGCAGGCTGTGCACTCCTGAGTCACGACTGAGGTTGCAGTTTCACACAAATAAGCTTTGCTCCAGATATGCTAACCTGCAAAAGCAGCTGCTGTGCCACCTAGTGGCATAACTACTTAAACCTGGACTATAAAAACCCTGAAAGATTACTGGAAGAATAATGTCTGCTGGTACAGATTATAAAGCCAGAAGGGGCTGTGATGGGGTATGTCTTCACTGCAGAGTCAAGGCCAGTCATCTACTCTTTAGAGTTAGCCTGGCTAAAGAGAGCAGGGAGAAGACAGGGTAGATTTGCACCTTATGGATTAAATCAGAGATGCATAGCATAAGATTTAGTAAGCAATGGGTTTACTTTGTCAGCTTCAGAACAATAGAGCTATAGAGTAATTGTAATAGCAGCTGATGAGTTGTGCTAAAGGGAGTGTTAGTCCTCAACCCATTCTTGAATTTCTCAGCTCACGTTAAAATACTACTCCACTTGAATTAGGGGTTGGTTTTTTTGGGTGTGGCTGGGATTTGGGTTAGGAGCAACCCTAAAGTGAACCTAATTCCTGCATTGAGTCCCCTAGTTTTTGTTGGAGCCCTAACATAACTTTTAGAAAGAAAGCCAGCTTGGATTTCACAATTTAATACGCCAATTTTTTTAAACCCTCCATGTAGACACTTACACAGCCATATTTGGAAAAACAAATGCGAGGCTGTAACTGTACAAATTCCCCACAAAAAAATCATTTTTAGGTAATTATAACCAAACATTTTTTCAGTCAATCTTTCTGTGGCAGGGCACTGTTGGTGCCTGCCACTTTAAAGGCCAGCAGGCAGCAGCCGCCAGGTGCCTGATGAGGGCGGCCGTTTTAGATTCGGGGCTGCCCATATAAACAGGACAGTTCAGATGCTGCAGGCCAGGCAGCAATATTGCCTGGTTGGAGAGCTGCTGATATCATCTGGAGGTAAGGGAGGAGCTGTTGGGGCTGGATAGGAGGCTCCTTGATCCTGGGCATGACCTAAAACTGCACCCTGCTGGGAGTGGGTGGCCTGGTGGGGCTCTCAGTGGCGTGGGAGCCCCCAGGAAATGCCAGGCCAGTTACCAACCTGGTGAACGGTGGGTTGGGGTGCCTTAACCCCTAGCCACCACAACTGGGTGGGTTACCCCTTGTTTGGAGGGCCCAGAGGGTGGACCCTCAGAGAGAAAGAATAAGGGCTTTAGACTCAGGCCTGCCTGAACTTCCCCTGACTGGCCCATGCTGGGGCCAGGACCGGAAGGGTCGAAGGGCCAGGGGCCACCACGAGGGATGCCCAAGAGCTGAGGGCCTGGGGTTCCCACTGCCCTGGAGGTGGGCCAGGGCTAGAGAGCCAAGGTCCCAGTGGGGGGATCACACCTGAAGGGGGATCAGTTCAGGGTGCCTGGTATGATGGTGGAAGAGGTCGCCTGAGGGGAGGAATCCAGGTGGGGTTCAATAGGAGAATTGTGGGCCCCAGTGTGGGGCTGGTGATTTATGGGAACCCCTAGATGCCATCCGTGAGGCTTGGGCTGCAGTGTAGGGGAGGAATGGAGCTGCAGATAGC